GGCCTGGTGGGCCACTTGGCTCGTATGCAGACTTTTACCTTATTAAAATATCTCCTGCTTGAGTTTCTTGTCTTTCTTACCTTTGCATTCCCACATACGTCATTAGTGCCCAGTCAGAGCGCTTGTTCAGCTGTTGGATTCGTTCCCAGTATGCACTGTCGGCTCGCTCGTTATCTAATGCATACAATGTGAACAGTGGTGGAAAGAGTCTGGGAAAGAGCAGGGGGTGCATCACCATGCTGCTTGTTAAACTTTCTTCTGTACCGTGATTGGCTACCCCTGAAACTGTGTCTGTATGTAAAAGAACGTATTCTTCATTGGGTAGCTCAGGGAATAGAAGCCTGCAAAGATAAGCAAAGAGCATTACTTGACTCGACCTTGCAGGTTAAATTAGTACACTCTTAGAGGAGCCACGGTTTGCGCATATCGAAAAGTTTAGCCTCAATTTTTCAAATTCGTCGTTTGTAATCTGTGTTAATCTTCTCCATCGTTAGCCAACCTTGTTCCTTTATGGTTTATCATTATCTCTTTGGTGTTTTTCTATCTTTTTAAGCTGTTATTTTCAGGTTTCCTACCGTTTAAATGTAATTTTGTATGTGGCCAAAATAACTCAAAATATCGCGACTGAGCCCCTTTAAAGACTATTATCCCGTTTCCTCCCCGCATATGAGGTCTAATGTGACACCTAGTCACAGAAGAGATAGATAACAGCAAGAGAATCACAAGCAAACCACAACAGCAGCAGCAACAAGCACAAAGGCTGTGCGCTTTAATACTTGGTACATTTCTTTGCCGTTCTCCACAAAACAAAAGCATGAAATGACCATGATTCATGTATTTTCCCGTGCTTCTTCGCCTTCTTTGATATTGAAATATCAAAGAAGGCATCCTCACAGCGTTGGAGATTTTCCTTCGCTTTGTAAAGAAAACATAAACAAATCCTCCTCGAAATATTCACGGAAGAAGTGGGTACCATGTCTAAAAATAACTTAACACGGATTACCTTGGGTATAAAGCCTATATGGGGGATTAATTCTCTAACCATGGTGAGCTCTTGGTAACAGGTATTACACAAACACACAACAGACCATCGCCCATTGTCTCTTGCGACAATAGTATCATTTGTCACGGAACTCGCATAGAACTTCAGTGGGGCATTTAGTGTACATGAATGGTCGATAAAAAGCATTTTTGGCGGTTTCCCTAGTTTGTGTGGGCAAGTACCTATTATCACTTTGCAATAAAATGATGGAGGCATGTCTCGAGTTTATTTCACACAGTATTATAAACGGTGAAGAGATTTGTTAATGTGACACCTCTACTGATCTGATGAGTGAAAAACTTTAACTTGCTTAATGATTATTCATAGCATTTGCGTACAGTGAAAATACAAACACACTAGATATAAAAAAATTACAAGTAACGTACAATTTACCACAAGACATTAAAACACACATTATGACCNAGGTATTACACAAACACACAACAGACCATCACCCATTGTCTCTTGCGACAATGGTATCATTTGTCACGGAACTCGCATAGAACTTCAGTGGGGCATTTAGTGTACATGAATGGTCGATAAGAAGCATTTTTGGCCGTTTTCCTAGTTTGGGTGGGCAAGTACCTATTATCACTTTGCAATAAAATGATGGAGGCATGTCTCGAGTTTATTTCACACTTAGTATTATAAACGGTGAAGAAATTTTTTAATGTGAAACCTCTACTGATCTGATGAGTGTAAAACTTTAACTTGCTTAATGATTATTCATAGCATTGCGTACAGTAAAAATACAAACACACTAGATATAAAAAAATTACAAGTAACGTACAATTTACTACAAGACACTAAAACACACATTATGACCGTGACATCACAACACGCTTATAAAACGAAGATAACGAAACAAAGTACCCCAACAGGTAAAGTGTAACAGTGAGTTGCAATTCTTAAACACCAGTGTAACATAAAACAATACGAATATCTTACCGCACCATGTTGTATACCCTTTCAACAAAAGATTTGACCTCAGCTACAGCGTGAGCCAGCAGCCTCCTGTGAGTGCCCATACCAACATAACTGGCTCGAAACACATCAATCAAGCCATTTACAAGTTGTCCCAAAGGGTGCTGCTTTACGTCAAATGCCTGCAGAAGGAGACAGAATGCAGGATATTTAGTGGAATCTTAAATTCACTATTTCAGGACTTATTTTGAATGGTATAGTATTGTACTAAAAAGAGGTGCTATCTATGAATCAAAGCAAAGACAAACTTCAGGTACTCGACGTTGAATTTAATTAACAATTAAACGAGCTTGAGATTTCTATGAAAGAAGAAATTATGTTTAACGATAAGGACTATCATCAACTATCACTTCACAGAAATCTCGAGTTCATAATCTAATTGTTAAATAGTGAATGATAACTCAGCTAGTCATATTGCAGCATTTGCAATTGTATACGAGTAGAACTCCATTAAATTAGTTCTTGTTACAGAATGAGTCCATAAGAATTACCCAACTATCTGCTTTTACCTTTAGCTTCCTTTAGCTTATAGACTGTATAACGTTTACCTCTCTTGCTGGGAACAGCTCCATTGAAGTTCTTATAAACATAGCTACTGATCGAATTATCAAAATCAACCCTTGATAAAACTAGGCTTGATATTAAACTTCCTGAAGTGAAGGAAATTCTTTTGCTGTACATCATAACCAAGCAGACCTTTGGGATTAACCTAATTACAACTATTAAGAGTATATTGAATGCTGCTACGTCCAGAGACTTTTAATTCACAGATAAATAACTCATCAGGACTTACACAGCAACATTACATTGATAAATGGACACTTTCCCTTATATCCTCGCCAAGCTTACCTTTGTTAGATAAAGATGCAATTTCTGCAAGTCCACAGTGTTTTTGGCAGTTTGTGCCATCTCATTGTTGATGTTCAACAATTCTTGGATAATTTCCTGCTCACCGCGTGACAGTTTAGAGTCAAGCTTGCTTTTTAAGGCAGCTGATATAGACTGCCACACAACTGTCAAGTCAGGATCCCGGTCACCACAACGACCAAGGGCTTGACGGCACTGGGAAAATAATGACACCCACTTCTTCTCAGGTGGAATGGTGTATTTGGTGTTTGTCATGGTAGATCTGTGAATGTAAAAAGAAACTTAAAATACCTCATACAGTAGGTATCATTACAGAACTGTGAAATTGCATACCTCCTTTTGGTTTACAACTGAAATATATGTGATACATAATAAGAGACACACATTGATAGAAAAGAGGCCAGATGTCACAAGAAAACACAACATAACAGTGCCTGGGTGCTTAAATGCTTAAAAGCCAACGTTAATGTTGAACAGGTATATTATTTTCAAAGGCATGAGGAGGACCACAGAATCTTAAGAACAAGAAACCACACGTGTCACACAAAATAATGCTAGCAGAGACCTTGGTGAATTGCTGGCTTTGCCTGTTGCTTCTAACTTATGAAATGTGCCATTAATTCGTATTCCATTTCCCCATTGGCCAGTAAATGTACCGTCTATGTAATCTCCATTTGGCATAGTAAGTACTCCCTGAAAAAAAAAAAAAAAAAAACTTAGCTGTTTATTGAAATGTTCAGATAACAATATTTCAGTATATAGAGTGGAAGAGTATTTAAACAAGCCAAAATGTCAATGCACTATGAAAACTGTGAGTTGTCAAAATACTGTTACTTGGAACATTTATACAGATTTTAAAACATACCTTGCCAGACAACAAACATTCCCCAACAAATTCTCCTTCAAATTTTGTGTTATCATCACACAGTAGAACACCATCACCCTAACAAATAAAGGAAATAATTTTAATGGTATCCACGAAAGAAACATTTAGCTCAATCGCAACTATGAAAGAAGAACAAAAGTTAACAGGCATGATCTATATTCCAATTTAAGAGACAGAGGAGATAGCAGTTGACACTGCAGTCTGGTTTTGAGAATCGTGAAGGACCTCTGAGTATCGTAGCACCTGTACCTCTCCTGAATAAGATTCTTCAGTATAAAATCAAAGATTACCTTAACTGACAAATTATCAATGCATGTATTTGTTACCAAAGCCAAATTGGGAAAACAGACAAAAAGGTTAGTGTTAAGAAGACAGTTCCGAAGTGGCGTGACGCGCGAATTGCGCGCACGCGCACGGAAACATTTTGAATTTAAGGACAGTGTCTACTAAGTACAAAGGTTTCTGCGCCAGGGTAGGACCACACGGAAAAAGTAGATCTTTGCAAGGGCTATTGGAATCCACAAAGAAAAGGGGGCGGGGGGCGGGCTGGTAGGCACGCATTTTTCCGAGATAATTAGCCTTGAATCTCAACAAAAATGCTGACATCAGCATTTTTCTGAAAAAAGAAGGAGAGGATATTTCTTCACAGCTTC